TTGGGTATTCAAAGTATTTTAAGTTTTTAAAATACTTTGAATACCCAATACAAAACAAACTCATTCAAACACACACTAATCCTTTTAAGTGTTATAATAGATTTTCTTTTCATTTTAAAAGCTTTTCTTAAAACTATAAACGTTTACAGTTTTAAGAAAAGCTTTTAAAATGAAAAGAAAATCTATTATAATATTTAAGAAAATACAACATAATATTAGTTTCAATCGACAAGAAATTAATATTTGTATGCAATAAAAAAATACATTTTATTAATTGAATAAATATTTATGTTTTACATTAATTATTTTGATAAGATAGAAACATATACTCATAATTGGTGCGATGAAGAGTCCAATCGCGGATTGCGTCGTCGGGGACGACCATTAACCAAGACAACCTCTCTCTTTGATGATCATGTGATTTCAGTATAGGGTCGTGAAAATCCTATGACGAGAAGTGATCTGAATATTATGGAAATCAAGAAGTGTCGAAGGAAGCCAAGAGTAAAATTGGTCAGAAGAGTTTTTCAATTGCTTTTGGCTTCCCCAATTTTTAAAACCTAAAAATTTTAACTTTTCAAAATTAAAAAGAAAAATTTTAACTTTTTTGTTGACTTCTTTTATTATAAGCTCCCATCCAAATATGAAAAAAAAAAAAAATTAAAAGCATTTTATTTTATTTTAAAAAAAAATTAGTAAAAAAAAAACAACTTCTACCGTAAGAGAAGCCGATCCAAACGACCACTTAATGCGAAATGTTTTGTTTGTTTTTCGCTCAGACTTTTTCTTTTCTTTTCTTTTTTTTTTCGCTGAGAGATATTAACGATTTCGCACAAATGGGACCAAAAAGGACAACACTGTCTCATGCAGTTATAATTGCATAGAGGACAAAAGGCTTCTTTATCTAATTGGGAACGTGAGACATGTGAATTCACTTGTCTGTATATGGTGGAGGCCCTGTGATTGTGACGTAACTACCAAATCCAGTCCTGACGTAATTAGCTATTTTCAGAGATTATAATTATATTTTTTTTTTTACAATCTCTTACAATTATATTTTATTATCGTTAATTTTTGTTAATCAACAATTGTCATTTTCACAAATTAAATTCATTAATTAATTATTAATTTATAATAGATAATAATCGTTGATTGACGAAAATCAACAGTGATAAGATATAATTGTAAGAGGTTGTAAAATAAAAAGGTTGTAAGTATAACCTTCCTCTAGATATTATGTTTAAGCTGTAAAATTATAATCATTTATTTTAATATAATGAAAACTTTCTAAAAATATTTATATATATTAATAAGTATTTTATAAATAAAAGGTTGACATATTTATAAATATATTATTTATAAATGAATGTATTAATATATAAATATATTTATTTTTATTTTTAAATGATATTTATGTTTATCTAAAATTTCCTTAATAGTAAAGAAATTTTCAAATTGTATACCCTTTATGATATTTCTAATTAATATTACAGTTTATTTAAATTACTTTACCAAACAATTTATTTATAACTATTTAAAAAAAACAATTTATTTATAACTGTAATTTTTAAGATAAAAAATTATATAATTATCGAATAGCTTCAAATTCTTTTAAAAACTTATTTTTAGTTTTAATTTTTTAGTAACTTTTAAGCTGAAAAAAAGCAAAGGCAAGCATACATAAATTAAAAAATAATTAACTTTAGCATTTGAAAAAAATTAACAAATATTTTGTATCCAGCGTACCAATTTTTATTTATTTATTTATTTTTTATCCAAACGTTCCTGATTCCTTTGCGCTATCTGTTGTTTTTAAGAGAAACTCGAAAATAAAAAAATAAAACTTTGCCATCCTTCATTTTTTTTTATTCCAAACAAAGATTTATAATCTTCTTTGTCATCCACTCATCCCATTGCTGGGACTTCTTTTTCCCAGTTTATGCTATGCAATAATTTTTTTTATAAATTTAAAGTTCTCTAAAAATTATTTTCTTATTTGTAAAAAACTCGTTGAATGAAAATTTTATATATTACAAATTTCATCAGTTACTCAGACACGGCGACACAGAAAGTTTAATTAATTAAACTTTAAAAAATAATTTTTAATTGAAGCAGGGTGCAAAATTACGTCGGATATTTATGTTAATTTTGTCAGGGTCTTGATTGGATGGTTGCCTATATTTGAAAGAAGAATCGAGATATATTGCTAGTCACAGTCACAGTCACAGGGCTCCACTCCACGGGATTTTTTAAAGTGATTCGGAATTATTTTTTTGGGTGATCCTTTTTCTATTTTTGGAAAAATGTACTTCCTTTTTTGTCCCTCACTTTTTTGAAAATTCCCTCCCACTCCCTCGTCGTTTGCTACTTTTGACATGGGACCATGCGTACATGGACTCATGGAGCACTAAAAGTTTAAAACAAACCTCTCCCACTCCACAAACAAGCAGCTGAACTCAGAAGTCTCAAGTACCCATTAGACAAGAAGCCTTTTTTTCTCTCTGTCAGTTGCCTACACAGGAAAAATTCTATAATACTACGATAGTATGAATATCTAAAGAAACACATATAACTCTTAACTTTATATTTTTAAAATTTTAAATTAAAAATATTTTAAGTTAATATGATTAATTTTAATTTAGTATTTTTTATACTCAACTTAAATTAATTAAAGAAAATATTATTTAATATTTATAAAAAAAATTCCTACATATTTTTCATTTTACTTTTGAATTTCATTTAAATTTGAAATACTTATTTAACATACATAATACTATACTAAGTAAACTAAAATTTAATATTTATATACTGCTCAGTTTTGGAATCAACTAAAATCTTAATTTGGTGGTTCGAAGATTTGAATAATTTTTTCAATTTAATATATACTTTAATATTAAAATCATATTTAAATGATCCTCTTACTAAGTTACTGTATAAAAATAAATAATGTTATTTAGGTTATTCTTAATTTAAAAAACTTATACAATGTCAAAATCTTAACTAGTATAGTAGTATTAATTAGGGGTGTAAATAGGTTAGGTTAGGTTATGCTTTGCCTTAAATAGACTAGGTCTTTGTAAGAAAATATTGGGTCTGGCCTATTAGCCTGTGTAGGTCCCAAATTACAAGTCTGGTTTGACCTACATTTAAAAAATAAAAGTCTTGGCTTAGGTCTGTTAGCCTGTTTAAGCCTATTAAACATTCAACAATTAAAAGAATAACTAAAATAATATTACTTTATTATCCAAAATTATGAAAATAGTAATTTTATTTATTTTATTTAAAATAAATAATATGATATAGGCCGGTCTGTAGGCTTATAGACCCGACATATACAAAAAAAGCCCATGGCCTATGTTTTAAGAGAAAACATTTTCTCATATCGTAGAAGAGTTGTTTTCTCATATTAGTGACCCTGCAATTTTCGTGCACTATTTTTTTTTGCTTTTTTACTTTTTTAATAGATGTGGGCTCCACATAAGATGTCTACAGTATGAGAAATTTTTTTCCTATCGCATGAGAAAATCGAATCATATTTTTTAAATAGATTTTTTTAAAAGTCTAGACATGTTCTGTTATACTAGGCCAAATCTGACCTAATGTAAACTAGGCCGTAGGCCGTTGTAGACTGATCTAATCCATTTACATCTCTAGTATTAACTCTTTAACTGTAGAAGTTGTAATTATCCTCAAAATCAGCGCAGGAATCCCAGTAATTTTAAAAACCTGTCACAGATCCATTCACCCAATTCTATCGGTGCATAATTTGAATCATGATTTGAAGGTTTTGTCAATCGAAAGAGTGTCCCGATGTACTACTTTTTGGAAGAGATTTAAAGGATTAATCTTATTCCCGTTCCAAATAAAACTAGTCGAGAAATGACAAACCTATTAAAATATTTCAAAAAAAAATTGCACCAAATTTTTTCCTAAGAGCATTATTCCTGATGCTAATCAAGCACATGACTAAAAAAACTTGGCTTGTTATTAAAAAAAAAAAAAAACTTGGCTATTCGCATGCCACGTACAGAAGATTATCTAGAATGGTGTGAACAACAGTTTTTTCTTAAAGTGTCGCAAAAAAAAAAAGTGTGAACTTATGTCCTCAGCGGGATTATAAATAGGCACTGAGATTTCTTCTGTCTGATGCAACAATTCCGTAAAGTATTCTTCTCTCTGCTTCTAAATCCGATAGAGTTTTGTTTGAGGAGAATGGCCAACATGATCAAAAAGATAGTTCCAAGTTTGAACACTTCTGTTGGTGTTAGTGCTAATGCCGGTTTGCAGTTGCAGACATCAACTTCTGTTGGTGTCACTGCTAATAATGCTGGTTCGCAGTTGCAGGCATCAGTAGATTTTGGTACGCTGAACCCATTCAGCGTGGCTGATGATGTCATCTCAAAAAACATTATTGGGATCCATGATTCCCAGGCTGTTAGGCACGACGTTGATTCTCTTTACAATGTCGTCACAAACATTGTTCAGAGCTCCACTCATATTGATGGCTCCCTCGATCTCAAGGTTTAACTTTAATAATATTATCCACACATTTCTTTAAAATATATATAACACAAGAGGCTGCCATATATATACTCGTGCAATTATAATTTTTTTTATTTATTTATATCATTTTAATTACAGCGTGCCAAATCCATTGAACTCGTGGAAGACAAGGTTCCTCAATCTAGTTTCATGCCATCTTACAGTACGCTGAAAGAAATTGCTTGTCAGGTTATCCCTACTTATCTCATATCGAATTTCGTTACGTTATTTTATAGTGCATATATTCATTGATCTCTGAACGGTATAAAGTAAGATAATATTTAATTTTTATGCTTAATTGTGTGGTGATGCTTGTTCATACGAATATAACATGTTTCTATATGACTCACATGAAATTATATATTTTAGAAAATGATGGATAAATCTAACTGTGGTGACAGATGACATGCAAGCCATTCAATACATCGAATGCACACGTGTCTGTAGTGGGGATACTTGAAAAGCTTAGGAGTTATACATGGGATGCTAAAGCAGTGATAGCTTTGGCGGCATTTGCTTTGGACTACGGTGAAACATGGCGCCTTTCACTGATGAAAGCAGCAAGCAAGGAAAACGGATTGGAGCTTCATGTGTTCAGGCTCGGAGAATTTGATAATCCCAAACAGCCAAATGCTGACCTTATCAGCACTCTGGTTGATCGCACTTTGCAACTCATTGAGGGTATCATTAAGTTGGAGAAACTCATTGCTAACAAAGCTTATAGCGCAAAGGATGTTCCTGCTTTGTATAAAGCTCCTCGAGATCTTTATACTTATTGGGCAATCTTATCCCTTCTAGCTTGTGCTAATCAGATGACTGAATTGTGAGTTCTACACTTACATGCAATTGAAAATTTTGTGATCTTATCTCGATTTTTTTTTTCCGACCAATTGTTTTAATGTTGTGTTGATTCAGGGACTGGCACATCAAATCTGAAGTGGTTGGGAGGCTCAAAATTGTTCTGACACAATTGAATGCTGATCTGGATGAAATCAAAATCCAAATAGGTTATAAAGATAACGCTCTTATGTTTTTATTACTTTGTTACATTGCACTCAAATCTTAAAGACTGGAGTTGACGACAACATTAATTGTCGAGGGAACTTATTTAATTTTAACTTTACTGAATTGAAAATCCAATACTGACTAAAGAACATTCTCTGTCTATTGCAGCAAGTATAGAGGATTTGACATGGCGCTTCACTGTCTTCCAAACTTATTCAGGAATTTTGGAGCTTTTAAAAGCTCTGATATTCCCCAGAGATATTAAGCAACTCGAAATCTTCGATAACACTGCTCAAGAGTTGGTTAGTAACAAATTATAAACTGATATTTTCACTGATATTTCTATAAGCCATGCTTAGAAGGAGATCAATTGAAAACAAAACCTTTTTGTTCTTATATTAGTGAATGACATCATCTTTCAGTTTTGATGATCTAGATGCTTACTATTTTGGTGTTGGTTTGTCCTTAATAGGTTAACCACGAAGTGCTGAAGACAAAGAACCTACTATTGTTCATTTCTGGTCTTGACAACATTGAAGATGAGATTTCGGCTATAAAGTCAATTCACGACTCATTGACCAAAGACAAAGATAAACAGGATTATAAGATATTGTGGATTCCGGTTGTGGAAAAATGGAACAACGATGAGAAGAGTAAGTTTGAGAAGTTGAAATCTCTGATGCCATGGTACGTTGTGCACTACTTTTCACTTATAAAAGGTTTCAAAGTCCTACAAGAGGAGTGGAACTACCAGGGTAAGCCTATTGTGGTGGTAACCAATCCTCGCGGGGAGGTAATTAACAGAAATGCATTGCATATGATTTTTGTGTGGGGCATTAGAGCTTTTCCCTTTGGAGTTGGGGACATTGACAAACTTTCCCAGCACTGGAATTGGTTTTGGACCGAGGCATTTAAGATTCATCCCACTATTGAACTATGGGTGGTAAGTACAACTATTCAATATTATACAAGTTTTGACACCGTTAGAGTAGAGTAATGATATACAAGCAACTAATAGCAGTAATATGAAAAACAAAAAGGTTTGGTTAATTTTGTACAAACTATTCTAATTTTTGGATTATTTAATTTTGTGTAAAGTATATTATCATATCATTATACTCATTAATTAAAATATATATTGTGAATCAGACCCAGGAGAACAAGTATATCTTCTTTTATGGAGGTACGGACATCAAATGGACACAAACATTTGGTTCTCTTGTGGATGACATAAAAAAGGATCCAATTATGAAGGAGACAGACACTTACATAGAGCAATTCAACCTGGGAACAGTTGATAGTAACATTACATCCAAGTTCTGGGTGAACATAACCAACTCGTTTCTGAGCAAGATTCAAAAGGATCACTTTGAGGTTGATCTTGTCCTCAAAGATATACAGACTTTGCTCTCTATGCAAACTGAGAAGGGATGGGCTCTTTTGAGTAAAGGGAAGAATGTACTAGTTATTGGTTACAATGAGTCGATGGTGAAAGTTCTAGAAGACTTCAAAAAGTGGAAGACTAATGTGGTGGAGTTACAAGGCTTTGACAATGCATTCAAACACTACTATGACCAGATCAGTACAACCCTTCCTCTTCATTGTGTCCACTTCCATTTGGAAAATATTCGCTCTGGAGTCCCATTGAGCATGGGTTGCCCAGCACCATCCTGTAATCTGAAAATGGAGATTGAATCTGTGAATTACAAGTGCTGCCATGGGATACATTATGACCATATCACTGAAAATGGTGAAGCTCCCACACTGGTGCCGAAGACCAATTAATGAACACCCTGGTCAATCTGCTTTGATGAACTGAAACTCGATGTTTTTAATAAATATGTTTGTCTTAATTATGTTGTGTGTGTGTTTGCGTCTGTGTACCTTTGTAGAGGTATATGCTACATGGGCATGAGTGTTTACGTTGTTGTGTACGTGTGTTGAGAGGTGCTCTCTCATCAAGGCTTGTTTTGCCTACTAAATAATGTACCCCTGTTTATTGCATAGTTGGCTTTTGGCTTCAATAAAATTAATGCGGATCAGTGATTGATCAGCAATATCATCTGGTTATTAATGTAGTTACTAATTAATAGCTTTTTATTTTTTATTTCCGATGAAATGATATATTTTAAATGATGATAATCCTGTAAATTGAAAGAACAATAACCCTTGGACGAAGCCATATTGAAATTGTATTTATTTGTTCCAGATAACCAATTTTTTTACGATAAATTGATTTTGTACAGTCAATTCCAGTTTTTGGATTGTTTGAGTTTATGTATGGAGTATATTATCACATCTCTACTCATTAAAACATATTTTATATTGAACCAGACCCAAGAGAACGCGTGTTTCTTCTTTTAGCAAATGGACACACAATTTTCAGAACACGTGGCTGTTAGATATTTATAACATTAAAGTTTCTTTTATCTCTCTTTAGTTACTTTTCAAAACATGTCTTTTGGAGAGAGAGAAAAAAAAAAAAACTTTAACGTTATAACTATATATTACCCGTAGTACATAATTAAAATGGTAGATTGGGATAAGTTTATCTCAAATGGCTGGAGAAATATTTTTTCAATACATATATATATAGTACATAATTATAATATTAAAGTTATTTTTTTCTCTCATCTCTCCACGTCAGCAGACAAGTTCTGAAAAGTGACTGAGAAGAGGAAAAAAAGCAACTTTAATATTATATATTATAACTATGTATTACCTGTAGTACATAGTTAAAATGGATAACTTGAGATAAACTTATCTCGGGTGGCCGAAGAAATATTAACAATATATATATATATATATATATATATATATATATATATATATGTCTCTCTCTCTGTATATATATATGTCTCTCTCTCTGTCTATATATATATATATATATATATATATATATATATATATATATATAGGATTATGATCATTTTACACCAGTGTAAGTTATAATCGATTCCATTTATATCTAACAGCTCAAATTTTTTAGAAATGTGAGTTATTGGATATAAGTGGATCAATGGTCAAGATTGAGTGTAAGACTTCTAACTCTTACACCGGTGTAAGAATATCATGCCCCGTATATATATATATATATATATATATATATATATATATATATATGAAGTAAGATCCTTTGACATCGGTGTCAAATTTCAAATTTAAAACCTCTTCTGATAGTCGTTAGATAAAAAAAAATCAATGGTGTCACATGTTTACAAATCAGAGTCGTTGATCTTTTTTGATCTAACGGCTCTCAAATTGTCAAATTTCAAATTTCAAATTTGACACTAGTGTCAATATATATATATATATATATATATATATATATATATATATATATATATATATATATATATGTCTTTCTTTGTGTATGTGTTCATTTTTTCTAAAATTACTTTAGAAAAATTTGTCTAATGTTCACCAAAACGACGTCATTTTGGAATGAAAATAATAATGTGTTTGTAATTTTAATTTATTACTGGGTTATCAGTCTTTATCATTTTAATTTTTTAATATATAAATCCCAAAACTACGTCAATTCGGTGAACATTAGATAAATTTTTTTAAAGTAACTTTAGAAACTTTATTTCTTATATATATATATGAGTAGTATTATATTGACAAACTTTTTTTATTTTTTACAAACTTACAAACTACACAATGTCTTATCAGTAATACTTTACTTAAGAGTGTATTACTAGTCAGATATAGTGTAGTTTGTAAACAAATTTTTTTTAAATATAACATTTCCCTTTATATATATATATATATATATATATATATATATATATATATATATATATATAAAGGGGATGGGCTGAGAAGGGATGGGCTTTTTTTTTAGTACAACAAGCGATGGGCTGTTTTGAGAAAAGGGGAGAATCGAATGTAGTATAAAAGTGGATTGCAAATTTGCAATGAGTATTTGATGAATGCCATAGTGGACTTGGATAAATGGAAGACGAATATGCCGAAGCAAACCATTGTGGTGGCTATCGAAAGCTATTTCGGTCCAGATCATCGTCCTCCTCTCCACCGTTGCCACTTCCAATTGGATAAATTGGCTTTGATATTCTAATGAACATGCCTTGCTCGGAACTATCCTGTAACAAAAGTATGATAATTACAAATCATAATGGAAATGGAAACTGTGTAGTACAAGTGCAGTGCTACGATAGGGAAGAGTGACCATTTTGTCACACTTGGCAAAAAAAAAAATTACCAGACTGTCACACCAACAGTAAATTTTGCCAAAATGCCACGCGGCATATTTCGCTACACTGTGTAGCGAAATATGTTTGTAAGTAATTCGCTACACAATATAGCGAAATATGCCATGTCAGAATGCACAGTCAGCAAAAAATGACACGTGTCAACTGTCAAGCAGGAAGAAATTCGCTACACTGTGCAACGAATTATGCTTGAATTCTGCCTGCTTGACACGTGTCATTTTTGCTCACTGTGCAGCCTGATATGGCATATTTCGCTACACTGTATAGCGAATAACTTGCAAACATATTTCGCTACGCAGTGTAGCGAAATATGTCGCGTGACATTTTGGCAAAATTTACTGTTGGCGTGGCAGTTTGGTAAATTTTTTTGCCAAACGTTGCAAAATGGTCACTGTTCCGCGATGGGGTGTATGATCATGAGACTGAAAATCTATGTAGCACAAATATCGACACGGGACACGGAACACGATATGACACGACACTCCGACATGTTAATTTTAAAAAATATTAGATTTCGACACGTTAGGACACATTTTGATATTGAATAATATTTTTAATTTATGTTGCATATATTATATTTAATATTTAATAATTTAATAAAAAATAAAGCTAAACTTATAATACCCATTAATTTTGCAAAGAAACATAAGATATCACAAATATCTATATTAAATTCAATAAAATAATAATAGTAATCCAACGAATTTAATAGTTAGAACTAAAAACGCAATGCAACGCAACCTTTGAACCTTTTTTTGAGTTTCTACAACGCGCGTTGAAATGTCGGAAAGTGTCGGACACGTCACGTCAAGATTTTTAAAGTGTTGGTGCTTCATAGCTGAAAATGGTAAAAATATTATTAGAAATATTGAAACGCGAATAGCGATGAAGTCTTTACATAACGTAAAAATGAATCATGTGAGAACGACACAGGTACAAAAGACACATTAACCAAAATTCGTAAGAGTGTGTTTGGTAGAAGATTTTGTTAAAGATAGATAGGCAAATGGAAGTGGTATTTTTGGATGTCCATGTTTGGTATCATTTTTTAAATTTTTTTGCTAGGAAACTCATTTGCCTAGTATTTGCCTTTTGTGTGTAAAAAACACTGTTGAATAATACCACCTACAAGGTGGTATTTGCTGATAGATGGGGAATTCAAAAAAGATTGCAAGCAAGGAGACCAAAATGACCCTGATGTTTGAGAAAATTACAACAAACTAAAACCATATTTTTACATTTTATTTTAGTCAAGGGTTGTTGTGGTAATTTAACCATATTTTCTCACCTATATTTTATTTTCAACCAAACATAGACTTATAAAATTCTACCCAATTTTTCCGGTAAAATTTTGGCCAACCAAACAACTTTTTTTTTTAATTTTTCTACCAAACTTCATTTCCCACCATATCCATAGTAATTACATTTTTCTGATAATTTTTTTTTCTCCTCTACCAAATGCCCCCTAAAAATTTGGATTGATGGATATGTGGATATTGTAACATCTTTTGATCGCCGGTGCAAAGAGTCACGGACAAGGAGCGGCTCCTGACAGACTTCCAGCGGGGGGTTACATGCATGAATGAATCGAATCGACACCCGAAAGAGAGAGATTCCAAAGGTTGTGCAGCTATAAGACTGCACAGTTTGTGATAGCTTATAAGAATTAATTGGTACTACCTATGCTAACAAGATGCATCTGCTTTTCGGTAGCCCGAATCGGAAGAACTCCATAGTTAAGCGTGCATGACTTGGAAAATTCTTTGGAGAAATTTTCTCGAGAAGTGTGCGAGTGAGGAAAAAGCACACTAAAAAGTCTCGTGTTAATATGTGGGGATAGTCATTGATTCTTGAAGACGTTACAGATTCTTCCCAAAGAATTGGGTAGTGTGACCCTCAAACTAACTAAACTACATTAGCAAAATCAGTGGAGGAAGGTCCTCTAGTTAGGAGAAGATTACTAGAAGGGGTCAGCAGGATGCTAAGTCAGAAATAACACATTTTTGTAAGCCAAACTCACTTTATATTCCAGCCCTTTTTTTCCCCAAGTTTTCCACCAAGGCCATCCTTTAAAATCTTTATAAATTTAAAAACATTAAATTCATTATCAATTATTATATCTTGATGACTGATTTTTTTCATCGAAAGAATTCAAATATTCAATATTATTTAAGTTGAGTTAGTGTCATTATATTCCATAATTATTAAATATTAAAATTATTTGTTAACAGGATGATAATTACGCAATGGTTTTAAATTATTGCTAAATGATATAAAATATTTAAATTTTTCAGACGAAAATAAAAAAAAAAAAATTAAATAATGAATTTAATATTTTTAAATTGATGAAAAATTCAAAATTACATTCGAAATGTATTAATTATTATTTAACTAAATAAATTTGATAATAATTTTCAAAATAGTAATATTTACATTATTTTCAATTTTAATTATTATGTAATAATTAATATTTATGGCAGTAATTATTAATGCCCAGTACCTAATATTAATTTGTAAGAGTAAATATATAATTTATTGTAGTAAACGATC